CCCCCGAGGACATCTGTGGCCTTATCAGAATTGTGCCACTGATAGACACTGTACCATCTTATCAGAACTTTGGAACTTTCTGGAGTGTCCATGAACAACTCACTGACTTTGTTGACCTCCGATGCACATTTGTATTATGATGTCATTGTATGTTGCTGTTTATGTTGTGATGTCCTTTTTTTGCATCTTTTACACTGTGCCCTGGCCAGGACATGGTGTGAGACATGCTTTTTTTAACTTCCTCCACCCTTGTGTTCTCTTTTCCTCACCTACTCCGTATGTTGTATGTAACAGGTCTCTCTTGTAAATGAGTCCCTGAGGCTCAATGGGAACTAACCTGTATAAATAAAGGTTGAATGAATGAATGAATGAATGAATGAATGACTGAAGTAGTGGCAAATTTCTGGGGAAGAGCATCTTTGAGTGTTTTTTTCTGTGTTTAGTTATGTCAGTAAGAGGATTTTTCCACCCAGTGGTTTTGCATGGGCATTTCGGTGTTTTAATAATTGTTAGTTTAGGAGTATGATGCTGAAAGCAATGTCTCCTGATGTTTTCAGTCTCAGGTGGAGGATCGCCTGGACAGACTGGATGATGTCATCCACGTCCTGAGGAACCATGCTGTGGGCCCCACAGCTGGGCTGCCCACTGACATCCACAGCTTGCTGAACCAACCCCACCACATGCACCCCGGCTCTGGCAGCTCTTTACCATTCACCTGTCATGCTCCAGCCATGGTTAGCAAACTTTCAAGTTTTTAAAGCAGAACAGAGTGCATGGAAATTACACCTGGAGAGGTGCGAATATTCAGTTTCATGAATTATCTGCCCGCTATGTCTGAATGTTTCCCCGTGTAAAAGCTGATGTCCCTGGAATTGGAAACTGAGCATAACTAGAGTACGATATATTTATGAAGATTCAAATTTCATAGTTTGCAGAGTGCAAAAATGGTTTTTAGTTCAATTGTTTGGGGAGAACGTAATAAATTCTACTCATTTTTTCTCCAAAATACATACATGTATCATAAAAAAGACTCATTCGTGAGTTTCGGGAAACCGTTTAGATGACCTGACTGAAAATTGTTGGATTTTATACCTGGATTATTGTGCATAGACTTTGGTGAATGAGTGAAGTGTTTAAAGACTTGTCCACCTCTCTGAGATTCAATTAATTCTGTAGATCTTGAGATCTTTGAACTGAGAAGTCAGATGGTAATTTGTGGGTTTGTGGGTGAGGTAATAAATTAACCATGTTTGAAATATTTAACAAGTCATAATATTGTTGAGGTGGGACATCTGTAAGTCTGATCACTCAACAGGCATCTAAAGATGTTTATCTCAGAGTCAGAGTCAGTCAGAGAAGTTTTGTTGTCATTTCAGCTACATACAAGTACATATTGAAATGAAACATCTTGTTTGTGTCATAAAGGTTGAAGGTGTCACTATCAACAACAATCACTCGTCCTTCCAGAACCGCACACAAAATGGCCACCCGTACCTGGCCAGACAGAGGGCCACGCTCCTGCAAGGAGGAGAAGGCGGTAGGGATATTTATTTTTATCTAATCAACTATCAGAGTCACACTATTCACTGTGTCTGTCCATATTTACAATATTTTTAAAGGTTTACTGTTGTGTGTGATTTTCTGCAGGAGTTCAGGACAACCTGGAGTTTAAGATGGAAAGCAGGGAGAGTGACGAAATGATGCACACCAACCATGGCCACAGCTCTGACAGCCCGAGATCCGACGAGGACAGCGAACACAAAACAAACGAAGAAAACAGCTCAAGGAACAGGTAACCCCCACAAACACAGGCCAGACATTTAGAGTGCAGTTCAGTTCTAAAATATGAGACCACCAGGTCGATACAGAATCTTTGATGGTGAATAATAGCCTGCAGCCTCAAATCAGTTTTATTTCCTCATGTTTGTCTTTGCTCCTCACTCTTAGTATCCATGAGGATGAGGAGCTGAGCCCGGAGCAGAAGGCCGAGCGTGAGCGCGAGAGGAGGATGGCCAACAACGCCCGTGAGCGTCTGCGCGTGCGGGACATCAACGAGGCCTTTAAGGAGCTGGGACACATGTGTCAGCTGCACCTGAAGAGCGAGAAGCCACAGACCAAACTGCTGGTGCTGCACCAGGCGGTGGCTGTGATCCTGAGTCTGGAGCAGCAGGTCAGAGGTCAGTGCATCAGAGGCTTGCACCCACCTCACAGGGAGCTGACGGGACCCACCTTCTTTGAAGGATTCAAAATAAATATGTTGTAAATCACATTCACCTTTTGTTGTTAGTTTGGCTAAAGCTGCATTAATAGATTGTGGTTTTGACCACATGATGGCAGCACAGTAGGCTTGGCTGATGATGTGCACCCACATTTAGAGCTTTCAGCATCCAACATTCAAAGAGCAGCATTGGTTAGTTACAAAAACAAACCAAAAAAGTAATGGTTTAAAAAAATACCTGCAAGAGCTGCTAATTCCTGTTTCCATTCTTGCATGTGAGCAGAGTTTTAAAAATTATTCACTTGAATTTATAAAAGTTTTTTTTTTATTTTTTTTATCAAACTTGAGTTCTAAAGGTTTGGAGCTCTTCATCCGTTGAAATGTTGAACAATAATTTGTTGCGTCCTGCAGAGAGGAACCTGAATCCAAAGGCTGCGTGTCTGCGGAGACAAGAGGAGGAGAAGGCATCAGCCGTCCTGACAGATCCGCAATCTGTGCATCTCACTTTTCATCCAAGTCTGGGCGACCTGTCAAACCCCATGGGCCACCTCTGATCACCTGGTTCTAACAGCTTCAAGTCTGCCATCAGGTAACTAATCCATGCTTCCTTCATCTTTGATTTCTGATCAACAGATAAATGGTGTTATTATTGCTGACTCGTTCTCTCTGATGCCTAGGTGTTGGCTGAAGAACATCAGGAGTGTCCAGTTCTGCTGGATGTCCGGTGTTTCCTGTGAATTCAGAGCGAGCAGATTACACTGACTAGAAAGTGTGTTGCAGTCGAACAATCATCTCCTCTCCTCCCAAATGGACATTTAACTTGGTGCCTATAAACTCTATATAAAACAGACAAATGCATTGTAATCTGCAGATGTTTTGTACATATTTTGTATATTTATTTCTGTTTCAGTGTATCGGGATGAATAAATGAACTCTGTGGTTTGAAATCATTTTTTTTTACTGCAGGCTGCATGGTGGTGCAGTTGGTTAGGATTGCTGCTTTCAACAAGAAGGTCGTAGGTTTGACTCCCAGTTGAAGCTTTTCTATGTGGACTTTGCTTAACCTCTTCATGTCTGTCTGGGTTTTTGGTCCAAAAACATGCATGTTAGGTTAACTATCGATTTTAAATTGTCATGAGAAGTGAATGATTGTGTGGCCCGCTGATCCAGGTTGCACTCTGACAGCTGGAGCGCCCCTGAACCCTAAACAGGGGCAAGCAGGTGCAGAAAGTGGAACGATGGATGGATCATTTAGGCTGCTGCATAATCTTTCCATTAAGATCACAGTTATGTTTTCAGCCATTTTTCAGTTTTCTTGCAGGGTGTGTGTATATGTGTGTAAATGTTGCAGGGGGGTTTGAGCATTCTGTGAATGAACAGATCTCCAAGAATGTTCTTAAACATCAAATCTAGTCTGGAAAATATGTTTTATTCTGTGGTATTGCACTGCTGAAAGAGTCTTCTGATACTGAAACAATGGTGGACAGAATCCCTCTTTTCCTCAGCAACATCATTCCCCTTCAGAAATAGTCAAACAATCTTGGTGCATGTTTGATTTTTAATAGAACATTCAGTTTTTTTTTAAGTTATAAGTTACATTTGATACAAATATTGTGAAAATAATAATGTCTGTTTGCATTTGTTAATTATTTCCCTCATGAGGACTGTTTTTTGTGATGTTTACTATAGCTGTAACCACATTTTATCTTCTGAGCAACATGGCGTTATAGAACAAGTGAAGTGTGAGAAAATAATCTGACATATTCATCACGCAACATGTACAGGAAATGTACAGTTTGAGTTAAAGGCATGTGTCGATATAACTACGTAGCAATAAATGTCTTTTTCAAATCATTTGCATGTTTTGTCCCTCAAACCTTGCTATGCTCTTGTACAGAAACAGGCAAATGGGAGGTAATATAGGAGAGATGTTGCTATCTTATAGCTCTATATTACAGCTCGTTAACATAATATTTTAAGTGTCAAACTGTGTCATGATTGCTAGCTCTAACTAAATAATTAATTAGTAGGTTAGTGATAGGCTGCTGATGACCAACGGCATCGATCTTATTATATTTTGTCTCCTATGTGTCATAAACACAATCAACATAAGTTCATACCTTGAATTTAGGAGCTTTATTTTATTCCTGAATGATTCACATTTTAGATTTGAGTTACTTAAACAAAAATCAATCCCTTTGAAACTAGCCTACTGGATTGAAAATGAGTGAAAAGGCAGCCAAAGTCCTAAACAACAACAACAACAACTCCAAAACACTTTGAAAAACCTTCAGAAGGCCCGAAGAACTATTGAGCAGGATCACTTAAAGATATTACAAGAAGGACAGGCAGCTAGGACGCGAAATGTAAGAAAACAAGGATTGATCTTAGTCATTTTCACATTACTGGGTACTATAATTTATCAGCTGGTTATAATTCTTCAATTGTAATCAGGGGCAGCACGGTGGCGCAACTGGTAGAGCTGCTGCCTCTCAGCGAGCAGGTCCTTGGTTCAAATCCCGGTCCAGGGGCCTTTCTGGGTGGAGTTTGCATGTTCTCTCCGTGCATGCGTGGGTTTTCTCCGGGTGCTCTGGTTTCCTCCCACAAACTAAAAACATGCATGTTAGGCTGATTGGTAACTCTAAAATTGTCCCTAGGTGTGCATGAGAAAGTGAATGGTTGTTTGTCTCGTTTGTCTCTATGTGTCCCTGTGATGGACTTGCGACCCATCCAGGGTGTACCCCGCCCCTCGCACAGTGATTGCTGGACATGGGCACCGGCGACCCCCGTGACCCAAAATGGAATAAACGTGTAAAGATAATGGATGGATGGAATTGTAATCAGAAGTACCATACCATACCACTTTATTTATAAAGCACTTAAAACAGCGACAAGGCCAACCAAAGTGCTGTACAGACAGAACAACAGGTAACACACAAAGCAAAATACAAAATAAGGTAAATCAGAATATAGACATAAAAACGATGCAGATAATGACGACAAACCAGTGTGGAGCATACAGGATCAAAACACAGATCCTCTGGTGTTGAAAGCTATTGAATAGTTGTAAGTTTTTAAACGGGACTTGAAAACCGAGAGGGAGGGGGCCTGTCTGACAAGCAGAGGTAACTCGTTCCAAAGTCTTGGTCCTGCTCCAGAGAAGGCCCTGTCACCTCTGCGCTTAAGACGAGATTCTGGAACTGTGAGGAGCAACTGGTCCGCTGACCTCAGAGAACGCGGTGGGACATACGGTTGTAGCAGATCAAAGAGATTGGGGGGGGGTGAAACTTTTCAGTGATTTGTAGACATACATGAGTATTTTGAACTGGATTCGAAAGTGAACCGGTAACCAGTGCAGTGAGGCCAAAACTGGTGTGATGTGCTCTCTTTTGCCTGTACTGGTTAAAAATCGGGCTGCTGCATTCTGGACCAGTTGTAGTCGTGCTATAGAGGTCTGACTGATACCAAACAGGAGTGAATAGGAAGTAGGAGTAAGTAGGAAAATGGCATTTGTGGAAATGAAGCGTGCTGAATGACCACGGAAATTAGCTGAAGAAGTTGAAACTGTTAAATGTTAGAGCAAAGAGAACAGAAGCTGAAAGGAGCAGAGTGCATGCTAAAAGTTTAAATGAGCAGAAAGCTAGCAAAAAATGAGCCGAATGGTAACTAAATGTATAAGAAGCAAAGGGCTTGCTAAACGCCATAAGCAGAAAAACACCAGCTATAAAAACATGAGGTAAAAAAGTAAATTGCTGGGAATAAGGTAAAGTAGCAAAACTGTATACCTTCACCAAGAGTGGTGAAGGCTGCACAGAAGACAGTTGGAGTCAGCCTCCCCACCATCACAGACATCTACACCTCCACATGCAGGAAGAGAGCCACCTGCATCATGAAGGACCCCACTCACCCAGCACACACACTTTTTGACCCGCTCCCCTTAGGCAGGAGGTTGAGGAGCATTACGTGTAGAACCACTAGACTGAGGAACAGCTTCTACCCTGAGGCTGTTAGACTCATGCATATCTAACCAGGAAAATCACTGTAATGCCACTTTAAATGGTGTTATGTGACTTATCTGTGCTGCTGATTATCCATGCTGCTGATCTTATGCTGCTGATTATTTCATGCTGCTGTATTCGTTCATATCCATCTACTCACCACAGACTCATGTTCGTGCTATTGCTGTTACACCGTATTGTTTTACATTATTCCTGTTTAGTGTATATATAGCTTAGATGTTTTAATGTACCATTTGGCATTCGTTTAGTGTACTTAGTGTATATCTTAAATACTTATATAATGTTTCTTATACTTTGTTATATTTGAGTGTAACTGGGACCCTGTGGGATTCCTGGGTTTTCTCTGTCACTCACTCTCTTTCACAGCTAATCACCTCAACTCTCTGCGCCTGCTGCTGCCTGAGGAGACCTGATCTGGAGCTGTATATAAACTCCTTCCAGACATGTCTTCAGGGCCAGGACATCAACTACCTAACGGTAACTCATGTTCAGCCAACTAACTGCTTTCATTACAGCCGGTCCTCACCGCCTGTGATCTGTCCAGGGCCTTCCATGTCCTGCTCCTTCAAGTCCTCCCAAGGACCTTATCGTTCCAGAGATTCCCCTGTGGACCAACGGTGTCTCATCAAACTGCAGCCATCAAACAACCAGCTTGGGTCAACCTGCTCCCCTCTTCACCGGATTGTCCCAAAAACCCAGGACCTCTCCACTCCTCCTTGGGGCGCACCTACAAAACAAACTAAGATTACTCTTCATTCAGAAATCATTATTAAGGATTGTCTGAGGATTTAAATGATACTCACCTTGCCCCCTCCTCTCCTCCAGCCCTGTAAATACCTGGCACTGCACCTGTAAATAAAGTTCACTTACCTTTTTTGTATTTTGACTCTGTTGTTCCTTCTCAGTCTGCTTATTTTGGGGGTCGCCACTAACACAATCACGATAGACCCTGAGGACATAATTTAGTTTCACCTCATGTACCACAGGTGATGCGAATGACATACTTGACTTGGACTTGAACAAGCTGAACGTTGTGATGTATGAATCGTTAAATTTGCACACACAAAAAAAAAGCATGCGGAAAAAGGGAATTCGGTTTATTTATATAGCACCAAATCACAACAAAGTTGTCTCAGGGCACTTTACAGGAACATTCACATACATAAAAAAAAAAGTAAAACAAAACGTACTATAAAATAAACAGTGGAACGGGCAGCACGGTGGCTCGGTTGGTAGAGCTGCTGCTTCTCAGCGAGCAGGTTGCCCATCCCGGCCAAGGGCCTTTCTGGGTGGAGCTTACATGTTCTCTCTGTGCATGCATGGGTTTACTCCGGGTACTCCGGTTTTCTCCCACAGACCAAAAACCTGCATGTTAGGCTGGTAACTAAATCGTCTCTAGGTGTGAGAGTGAATGGTTGTCTCTGTGTCCCTGTGATGGACTGGAGACCTGTCAGGGTGTTCCCTGCCTCTCTGTCATTTATGGCTGGATATGGGCACCACTGACCCCAAAAGGAAGAAGCAGGTAAAGATAATGGATGGATGAATAGTGGAACGGCGTGACCGCTGTCTCAGCAATCGCATAACAAATGGCTGTTTTTCATGACTTTTTTTTTAAAACAACTTTATTTATACAGAGTACTGTACAATAAAATCTTGCAACAACAAACATGGGTCGAGCTTAAGGCAGACATGAGAATATAGAAATACAAGAAAATAAAAGTGGAAAATATGGTTTGGGCAGGTTACAGTAAAAATTCATTAGAGTTGCCTTTTTTGTTGTTGTTGTTGTTTTGTCCTTCATCCAAAGGACTTCTTCAATCTGAGGAGCCACCAAAACTGATTCCCACACATAGCGGAAAAAAGCAGTTTGCTGGTGCTAAGTTGGCCTCCTGGGTCCGTCCTCTCCACCATCAACTCCTCTGAGACATTCATGCCAAAGTAGTTCAAAACCCCAAAGTAATCCAGGTAAAAATCCAACGATGTTC